TATATATAATATGAATAAATCACCTTATTTTTATTTTATTTAATAAATAAAATAGATACTATTATACAAATAATTTATTTATTTTTATATTTATAAAATATATATTAATTTTTGGTATCTGCTTTAATAATAAATTTTAAATTTATATTGATTGATATGAAAAGTAATAAATTTAACAAATATATATTATTTTTCTTAATAAAATAAAGGGAGTTACTACAATACCTTTATAAATTAGGATGTTTTGGTACAACTGATTTTTTAAACTAATAAAAATGGCATAAAATGTGATTTTTTTTCTTTTCACTTTCATTTTTTTTCTTCTACACTAAGTAATGTGTTTATTAACAAATAAATGATTTAAGTAATTAACTTACTATTTCTTTTCACCAAATGTTGAAGTGTTTCAAATCGTTTTGTAGAAATTAAAATATTGAAAAGAACACAATAAAATTTTATTTGCTGAAGTTGTGAGAGATTTTGTAAATTTTTTATTCAATTTTTTGCTCATAATTTGTACACAAGTGTAAAAAATTTAATTTATTATGAATCATAATATATCAAAAATATTCTTAGTAAATCCAAATATATATATTGAAATGAAAAATATAAACATGTTAAAAATTAAACAATTTTAAATCAAATGTTTAAATATTTAAAACGAAAAAAAAATCCAAAACTCTTTAAATATATAAGGATGTCGTAGAATTTCTTTAAAATAAACATATTATATTTAATAAAATTAATATTTTATAATATTAAAATTTTTAATTTTAATTATATAGCATATACATTAATTAATACCGATTAAAAGATAAAGTATTAAATAAATATTAAAATTGAGATAAAGGGGGGAAAAAGATAAAATAGTCTATTTTATATATTGATCTTAATTGAATTGAATTCAAATAAGTAATCTTAATAAAATTTAAGGTAATTAAGGAATAAGAGACAGGCCTGTTCTACAAATTTAAATTTATGCATGCACCTCATTTCACTCTCTTCTAAGTTTTTTATCACTGGTGTTGTATGACTATTTTTATATAATTAGGTGCTCAACAACATCTTTGCTTCTCTGCTGTTTTGTCTACCCAAGTAAAGAAAAATTTCTTATATTCTAGGAAATTTTCATAATATATGTAGTTGAAGAGGAATAAATCCTTAAAATTGTGCTCTCGTGTGTCCCACGCTAAGACTTTTGTCGTTATTTTCCTACGGAAAGTTGGAACACTTTTTTAAGATCTTTTTAAAACATTCACTCCTTAAAACATTTGTTTCTTGCATAAGAAAGCAGGTTATGAAAAAATTAAGGCAATAATATAGAAAGTACACTATATTTGGTATAGTTTGAAAACGGAACATGCACAAGGCTAATTAATGAAGCCAAAAGAAACATACTCGCGTATGAAGTGACAGCTTTTATCTGTTATAAAAATGAGATATTAGAAAATATGTACTCAGTAATGGAAGCTTTTCAGATCTTCAAATTTATTTAATTACCTTATTATACAAATTTCAAATTAGAAAGTGAATTGTGATTTGTGGTTAATCATAAAGATGAATTCTGACTTGAAAAGATAGACACTAATATACAATAATTTAAACATGTTTATATTTCTCATAATAAGTTGGGTTGCAATTTTAGATGTGATATTTATTATAAATAAAACATGTGAATGTTGTTACAAGCACATATTTTAACCAAAGTAATTAAGGATAAACAAAAAATCATTTTTTCGACCAAATTTAATCCTTTTCAATAAAATCTTGATAAATTAAATTTTGTGGATAGAAAAAACATAGTTAAAAAGGAAAATCTTATTAAAAAATGATCAATTAAATTATTTTAAAAAAATTATCAATAAAGTCAATAAATATTTTATATCAATAATGCATACATAAAACAACTCATGGTATAAGGGCAAGTTAAGTCTTTACTAAGCTTTAGTTAAGGGATGCATGGTTTTTTTTTTCTTAAGAACTTAAGGCGGTATGTAACATTGCAAGACAGGTTGTGCCTAATTTCTGATCTTCATGAGGCTATTCGAAGTGCATACTCAAGAAATCGAAGTGGTTGGACAGAAAATAATTTTATCTGTGTCTATTGTATTCGACACTTTGCACCGCGTTTTGGAACGGGCCGTTCTGCAACCTGAACGGCCCGTTCTAGTTGTAGAACGGGTCGTTCTGCTTGAACATGCGAAAATTGTGCATCTGAAAGAGTCCGTTCTAAAGTTAGAACGGGCCGTTCTGACACCAAGAACAAGCCGTTCTAAAACTAGAACGGGTCATTCTAAACTAGGATTTTGGGCCTTTTTAGAAGTTTGGAACAGGCCGTTCTGGTTTTGGAACGGCCCGTTCTGGGTGTCAGAACCTTCCATTATAAATACATTCACTTTCACCACAAGTTTCACCTTCACTTTCACCACAAGTTTCACCTTCACTTTCACCATACCAAATTTATCAAAGTTATCAAAATACTAACTCACCCTTCTTATGATATTCCCTCCAATCACGATGTTGAGTCATACACACAGCTTTTAACTGGTTGTGTCATGGACCTTAATCAAATACCTTCTCAGCCATTTGACCAAGCTACAACTTCTGCCTCTCATCCCAATATTCAAACCAACATTGAAGATCGTCTTCTTGTTGGTCTCCCAACAGAAAATGTCTTTGATCCTTTTAGCGAAAACGAAGACGAAATTCTCTTTGAACATCAAGATGATGATGAATAAGAAATCCTTCCAGTTCCAAATAGTCCACCATTAGAACCAGTAGCCATATACAACCCACCTCCACACTTTTTAGACTTTCCCAGTAAAATCCAACAACAAGACACTGAGTATAGCCATCTGTTGGAACGCGAAATGGTTGTGTATCCACCTGGAACACTCTTTGTTGGCCAACGCTTCCAAACAAAAGAATAAGTACAAGATGCCATTAACAGATTTCACATTGTCAACCATTGCACTTACAAGGTTAAGCACTCAAACACTACTAGGCTTCTCGTGGAATGCGTTCACCACGATTGTGAATGGAGATGTCGTGCTATATTGCGCACTAGAGAACAACATTGGGAAATCATGATCCTTAAAGGCCCTCACACATGTGTTTCTTCACCCATCTCCCAAGATCATAATAAATTGGGGTCACAAATGATTTCTCAAACCATTCGTGAAATTATTGAGGCTAATCCATCTACACCCATTTCAACCATCATAGCCCACATCAAGTTGACCATGGGTTATACAA